TACATTTTATATAATTCATCCTAATTACACAACCCCCATCTGCCTTTAAATTTAATTAGAATACACCTTCTATAAGAGGGATGTCGAAAGCCAAGAACTTTGCATGCTTAGTGATGATGCATTGTCTTATAGACAAGACTAGAGACAACAGAAGAGGGGGGAAATCCTTGCCGACTTTTTATGTGATGCATTTGATAGCAATGCAGAGTCATAAAGATATTTCTCTAAAATTACATTCAGAAAAACTAGTTTAAATCACGTTATTTCCATTCTCTTCTCTTTATATTAGGTAAAAGTAAAGGTTTTCCCTTAAAATAATCTTTATTGAAGTGTTCATATTACATAAAAGTTAAAAATATAAGTCGGAAGTGAGAAAGACGAAATGGAAAGTGGGGGTGGGAGGGGGTGTGAAAAGTAATAGGAAAAGAATAAAAAAACGTGTAATATTGTGTATTATGTTTTTTATGGTTTTAATTGTATACTGTGCACTGTATATTTTGTTGTAAACCGCGTTGAGTCGCCAGTTAGGCTGAGAAACGGCGGTATACAAGGACAGTAAATAAATAAATAAATAAATAAATAAATAAATGAGGGGTTTCAAGAAAAGATAAAGGAGCAGACGAAAGTTTTAAAAAGAAAGAAATACTAGATTTAAACTTTTTCTTCCAGATTGACTTCCAAGATTCTTGATCTCTTCCTTTTCCTTCTTTCTTTCTTCTCTTTTTTTCTCTCCTTGAAATGTCTCCCAAAGGGAAACCAATTTTGACTAGTTTATATTTAATATATCTTACTATAATTATAAAAAAAATTGTATATTTTTTGTCTATTTTTCCTAATCTCCCAAGCTGTTCTTTGTCCCTTTATTTGTTATTTAATTTAGAAATTCATTAAATAATGTCCAATCTGTCCCTGTCTCTGCAATTCCTTTGCTTCTTTGTAGTAGGTAACTTAACCTATCCATGTTTCTAACGTCCATTATTTTCTTTTTCCAATCCTCAATTTTAGGTGTATCATTTTTCCTCCATAATTTGGCATAACACATCCTTGCGGCTGTTGTGGAAAGAAATATCAATTTGTCATTATTTTTTTCAATATTTCCATTTGTGATTCCCAGTAGAAAAACTTCTGGTTTCAGGGGTATGTGAATTTTCAGAATTTTCTGTAACGTGGCATAGATTTCCTTCCAAAAACTTCTCGCTTTTTTACACTGCCACCACATGTGGAAAAATGTTCCTTCTATAGTACCGCATTTCCAACATTTTGGATTCAAATTTTTGTAGCATTTATTTAATTTGTATGGTGTCATGTACCACCTAAAGAACATTTTTGCCCAATTTTCTTGCATGTCATATGCTCTTAGATACCTAATTTTTTTTTCCAAATTGTTTCCCACTCATCCAATCGACCTGCCCACGTTTTTGGCCCATTTTACCATACATTCTTTTACTCCTTCCTCTTCTGTGCTCCATCTCAGTAACTCTCTATATATTTTGGATATTTTCTTCTTTCCTGTGTCACAAATTCTATCCCATGTATTTCTTTTTGTTTTTGGTTTTTTAAGTCCCTTCTGCTGTGTTTTTCAGTGTTTTATGAGCGATGGTCACTCGTCGGCTTGATAGGTGTATTGTGTCCAAATATGGTGCCAATTCATCCAGTGGTTTTTGAGTTATGTTAATCCCACAAGTGAACATTACATTTTTTATTTATATAGATGAGGAAAAACTGGCACAGTAGTGTTACTTGAACTTTATGAATTTTATCCACTTCACAATGAAGATGTCTCCTGACAAGTATTAAAAATTACAAAACATTACTTGCGAACGTTGTGCGCTTTCAAGTCATTTCTAACTTCCATCCCCTGTTCAGATATCAGCTAGTACGTCAACACATTAAATCAAGAAATAGTTTTCTATGATCTACAGAGATACTTGCAGGAACACCTCAGCAAACGAGAGTCTAAAAGTGGCAGGCTAAAACTTGGAACCTCAATCCATAGCTGATACCAAATGAGAGACTCCCCCCTGGGCACAAATAAGACTGGGTGACTTGGAAGGTGCTGAACAGGCTGCGCTCTGACAACATGAGATGCAGAGCCAACCTTAAGAAATGGGGCCACAAAGTGGAGTTCACGACATGCAAGTGTGGAGAAGAGCAAACCACAGACCACCTACTACAATGCAACCTGAGCACTGCCACGTGCATAACGGAGGACCTTCTTATAGCAACAGCAGAGGCACTCCAAGTGGCCAGATACTAGTCCAAGGACATTTAGCATAATGCCAAGATTTTAAACTTTGTGTTTTTTTTAAAAAAACATTACAACTGTAGCCTTGATTCACTCCTGATACGATAAAAAAAAATCCGACTTATGGCAACCCTAAGGCATTTTTGTGAGAATACTAAAAATGGGTTGGATATGAGAGTTGTAGTTCCGTCTTTTAAATGCAATTGTTGCACCACAATACTTAGGAGCCCCTGGTGGCGCAGTGGGTTAAACCTTTGTGCCAGCAGGACTGAAGACCGACAGGTTGCAGGTTCAACTCTAGGAGGGTGTGTATGAGCTCCCTTTGTCAGCTCTAGCTCCCCATACATGAGAGAAGCCTCCCACAAGGATGGTAAAACATCAAAACATCCAAGCGTCCCCTGGGCAATGTCCTTGCAGACGGCCAATTTTTTCACACCAGAAGCGACTTGCAGTTTCTCAAGTCGCTCCTGACACACAAAAAAACCCACAATACTTCCTTTTTTTGGTATTACCTGAAAAAATAAAAAGCCATTTACTGCACTGTTGAAAATTCAAATTGCATATAACTAAAACACGTTGGTTTCTGAACTTCAGTAACAGGAGAACCATTGCTATTTGTCTTTATGTTCTATGTTCTGTACACCGCCACGAGTCGCCTTCGGGCTGAGAGTGGCGGTTAACAAGTGCAAATAATAAATAAATAAATAAATAATAATCTTCTCCGGTGTACAAGTATTGTGTACAGTGGAGTTTACGTGTCCAAGTCACTATAGATGAGAATTGTCCCTGCTTTGAATCCTTTTGGATTAAAAATTGATGGCGAGGAAGGGGCCGGAACATTGGTGATATGCCATCAATACCCTTAAAGGTATAAAAGATGAATGTGAACAAAGCCAAAATGAGCTCTGGCGGAGTCTAATGTTTTTTAAGTATACCCATGGCATGACTGAACACAAATCAAAGTAACTAGTTGACGTTTTTTAATTGGGTCTGACAGAGTCATTAAACACCAGCTGCTTCGCACATACCCCATACCCACCCTTTAAATAATACCGAGGACTTCTACATGAGCAGGAGGAAATTTTCCAGGTAACTATCTGCCTGCCCTTATATTTGAGGGTTGTTTAATTGAGAAGTAACAGGAAATAAATTCTAAAATTGTTTAATGGAGGGTTTAATGGATGAAAGCATTTATTTCATAGAATCATAGAATCATAGAATCAAAGAGCTGGAAGAGACCTCATGGGCCATCCAGTCCAACCCCATTCTGCCAAGAAGCAGGAATATTGCATTCAAATCACCCCTGACAGATGGCCATCCAGCCTCTGTTTAAAAACTTCCAAAGAAGGAGCCTCCATCACCCTCTGGGGCAGAGAGTTCCACTGCTGAATGGCTCTCACAGTCAGGAAGTTCTTCCTCGTGTTCAGATGGAATCTCCTCTCTTGTAGTTTGAAGCCATTGTTCCATTGCGTCCCAGTCTCCAAGGAAGCAGGAAACAAGCTTGCTCCCTCCTCCCTGTGGCTTCCTCTCACATATTTATACATGGCTATCATATCTCCTCTCAGACTTCTCTTCTTCAGGCTAAACATGCCCAGCTCCTTAAGCCGCTCCTCATAGGGCTTGTTCTCCAGACCCTTGATCATTTTAGTCGCCCTCCTCTGGACACATTCCAGCTTGTCAACATCTCTCTTCAATTGTGGTGCCCAGAATTGGACACAATATTCCAGGTGTGGTCTAACCAAAGCAGAATAGAGGGGTAGCATTACTTCCCTAGATCTAGACACTATGCTCCTATTGATGCAGGCCAAAATCCCATTGGCTTTTTTTGCTGCCACATCACATTGTTGGCTCATGTTTAACTTGTCCACAAGGACTCCAAGATCTTTTTCACACGTACTGCTCTCGAGCCAGGCATCCCCCATTCTGTATCTTTGCATTTCGTTTTTCCTGCCAAAGTGGAGTATCTTGCATTTGTCACTGTTGAACTTCATTTTGTTAGTTTTGGCCATTCATCTCTCTAATCTGTCAAGATCATTTTGAATCCTGCTCCTGTCCTCTGGAGTATTGGCTATTCCTCCCAATTTGGTGTCGTCTGCAAACTTGATGATCCTGCCTTCTAGCCCTTCATCTAAGTCATTAATAATAAATAAATAAATAAATAAATAAATAAATAAATAAATCATTTAATAACTTATTAATCGCCCTCCATCCGAGAATGCTCCAGGTGATTTACAGCTAAATTATAAAAGATAAAGTACATACATACAAAAATTAAAAATCAACAGAGATCGAATGCTCTAGTAAAAAGCCAGGTCTTAAGTGCGAGAGTAAAAGGCCCTAAGTCACGCATGGCTCTCATGTAGGGCGGCAAGGAATTCCACAAGGCAGGGGCAGAAATAGAAAAAGCCCTGCGCCTGGTCCTTTCCAAGTGCACTTCTCTAGGACCCGGTATATGGAGTAAGTCACATTGGGCTGGTTGTTGCGACCTCCGATGATGGGAGAAGGAGAGGCGGTCCCTAAGGTACGATGGACCCTGGCCGTAAAGAGTTTTAAAGGTCAGAACTAGCATCTTATACAGGCCACGGTACTCAGTGGCCTGTAAATGTTGAAACACTCAAATGTAAATGTAAATGTTGCAGCACTAGTGTTATATGGCATTTCATGGGCGTTTTTGTGATTAGCCTGGCTGCCGCATTCTGAACAATACGAAGCTTTCGGGTCGTAGACATTGGAAGGCCCACATACAGGGCGTTGCAATAATCCAGCCTAAATAAATAAATCATAGGCTGCACTCCAACAATGATAACACATTGGGTCTCTTCTAAAACCCTAACTATCCAGTGCAGTAAAAGTAATACAAGTATATGTTGGATATTCATATAACATGATTTAATGCATGACAACATCTCTTAAAAATGGGAAAACAATTAGTTGCTAGGTCTGGACACACACCATTTATTTATTGGGGAATATGTTTCCATAAACTGATCTCCGCATAACGAAGCCATGAATGCTGCAATGTTTTATTGTTTGCCTCCCTTTCAATCAAGCTTTAAATTCTAAAAAGATATACTTGAACTCTGCTTATTATTGTTATTAAGAACGGGGGGCGGGGGAATGACTCTCTCCAAATGTAAAAATGTGAAAAACTATCGGAGATCAGCATTACACAGAGAAACAAGCAGCTGACAATTCAACATAATCTCTCATTAAATAACAGCTCATTTATACATATCCCATTGTGCCCTCACATCTGGCAAGTGACTTGAGTTGGCAGATTTATTCCTACCGCTAAACCCGCCTGCCCTGCGGTAGCCTACCTCCCTTGTAATGGGACTCCACCACTTGCTTTCACAAACCTGGCGTGATTTGCAAAGATAAGAGCATCCAAGATTTATTTGAGTGTTTCAAATTTCATTTTGATTTTCTCCCGCTTTTACCGCTACCTAATTACTAGATGTCTCATGTCTGAGGGGAGGGAAGGATTAAAACAGGCCTTTTTTCAATTGCTTCCTTTCATTTCTGCTGTCGTAAATTTGAAAATGCTTAAAGTAAATCTATCTGCAGTATGTCATGTAAGCCCTTGTGTTGCAAAGTGATAAAAGGGCTCCGGCTGACCCTTGGCTGCCTCTCAGCCAGGTCCCAGGGGCTACATTTTGGGAAACACATTGTAAAAAAGCAAGCTTCATTGTAGCTCACAAAAGGGAGGAGAGGAGGACAAGTTCTGCATCTGCACTCCTCACACTCACATCTTACTTAACACAACAAATGAATATCTTGCCTGAGCATCAAATTCAGTAACCCTTTGTTATACCAACAGTCGCCAAATTTGGGTCTTCAACTCCTAGAAGTCATAGCAAGTTGAGGTCTAAAGTCTAGGACGTTGTGTTTGAAAACCATTGCACTAACCACACATGTTGATTTTAAAACATCCTCCCCTATACCTTTTGTTTGAAAATAATACATTATTCATTCAGGGAGAAAGGTGGGATACAAATAAAGATTATTATTATTATTATTATTATTATTATTTCAAAACAAATGACTTTTGCTTTAGTGGTTGCATCACATATCTATTCCAGGGATAGAGAAAGGAATGGAAAAATATATTGAAAATTTTCTAATTACCTTTCTATGTAATAACTGAGAAAATATTTTTTTTAATGTGCTAAAAAGAGAAGCACGTGACAACTCACCTGTGTGATTCAGAAGAAACCATCACCACTCTTGCAGGCGCTGAGCGACAAAGAAGATCTTTGAGGAGCTGGACAAGATAAAAGTGTCCCAAGTGGTTGACCTGGAAGGTGGACTCCAGACCATCTTCGGTCAATTGCCAAGGAACACCAAAAACGGCAGCATTGCACACCAGCACATGGAGAGACCTTTAAAAAGAAGCGATCCTCAATAAGCATCTTTCAGTAGAAGCTACACACATCTGGTTTCTTTTGGGTATCCATTCTTATGAGGAGAAAGATACATACAAGTTGAATATCTCTAATCTGGATTTCTGAAAGCAGAAATCCTTGGGACTGTTATTATCCAGGTGGGGGGCACTAGAGAGAGAAGGATAGTCCATTTTATGGGGGTGGAGGGTGGTTTGAAGGAGTCAAACCATTTCCTCCTGTTATTCTTGTCACCCATGTCACCACATAGCCCCAAATGACTGGCTATTGGGATCTCCTGCTCATGAGATCTGGCTGAACAAGTGGAACTGTTGATGGAAACTTCTTGCTGAACAGAAGGAAGGTGTATTTTTATCTGATGTTTATGAGGCCTGGTTCAGTTCAGGGTCAGCTCTGGTTAGTCCTTGGATAGGAGACTAAGTATTGGTCTGGTAGCAATACATCTTACCAATCAAAAGGTTGGCAGTTTGAAGGTCAGGTCAGGGTGAGCACCTGATTTTCAGCCCAGCTTATTTATTTATTTATTTCGGGTACTTTTACCCCGCCCTTCTCAACCCCCGAAGGAGGACTCTGGGCGGCTTACAAAAAAGGCACAATTCGATGCCTATACAAATTACACATAATATACAGAACCATAGTTAAAAGCAGTTATCACAGTTAACACAATCAACAACCAGTACATAACACATCATATAAAAACTATTCTCGTGATCAGCATTTAGTCTTTCAGAGTTGCATACATTTAATCCATTAATTATTTCCTAATCATCATCAAAGTTCTTTCTTTATCTGCCCGCTTGTCCAAATGCCTGGTCCCAGATCCATGTCTTTAGTTTTTTCCTAAAGGAAAGGAGCGATGTTGCAGACCTAATTTCCCCGGGGAGTGAATTCTACAGGCGGGGGGCCACCACCGAGAAGGCCCTGCTCCTCGTCCCCGCCAATCTCACTTGTGATAGAGGTGGGGTCGAGAGCAGGGCCTTCCCAGAAAATCTTAGACTCTGGGGTGGGACATAGAGGGAGATCCGTTCGGACAGATACACTGGGCCGGAACTGTATAGGGTTTTGTAGGTCAAAACCAGCACTTTGAATTGTGCTCGGAACTGGATCGGCAGCCAGTGGAGCAGACACAACAGGGGGGGTGGTATGCCGCCCCGGTGAGCAGTCTGTTTTGTTACCTCCTGTCATCTGCTTGGATCTTATATGTTGTGTCAATGTGTCCATGTTCATTATGTACATTAATTTTAGTCTCCAATCATCTAATTTTGGAATTTCCTCATTTTTCCACTTGCTTGCTAAAACTAATCTTGCTGCAGTTGCCATGTGGAAAAGGAGCTTGTCTTTATTCTTGTCCACCCCAAAGTCAAAGATTCCTAGTAAGTAATACTCCGCTTTCTTTTCTATTATTAATTCCAATATTTTGGTTGTTATTCCATGTATCTCCATCAAGAATTTTTTGACTTTCTTGCAGGTCCACCAGAGATGGAAAAAGGTGCCTTTCTTGTCTTTGCACTTCCAGCATCCTTCAGCTACATTTTTATAGTACTTTGCTAACTTACTTGGTGTTCAGTACCATTGGAACATCATTTTAATCCAATTTTCTCTTAAGCTGTAGGAGTTGGTCCATTTTAGTTTTGTCTTCCATATTTTTTCCCATTCCGGTATTCCTATGGTATGGCCTAGATTGGCTGTGTGATGTAACTATTTATACTATTTCTTTCCGTTTTCCAGCTTAGTAGAATTTTGTATAATTTTGTGGTTCCTTTTTTCTCCACTACCATAATCCTTTCCCATTGTTTTTCTCTGTTTTCAAATCCTTCTTTTTTATCTTTATTAAATGCCTCATTTAATTGCCTATGTTGAAACCATGAGATTTTACCGAACGTCTCTTTAATCTCATCCAGTGTTTTAAGCTTAAATCCTTCTCTATCTTTCTTTAGAATGTCCTTATACCTAGGCCAGTTTTCCCACCCAAGCTCTCTTATTTGGGATGCCTCTAACGGGGAGATCCATAAAGGTGTCCTTTGATAGAATTTGTTTTTGTACTTTTCCCAGATTTTAATTAATGACGATCTGACAAAATGGTTACCAAAGTTCTTTTCTATTTTCTTCTTGTCGTACCACAGGTACACATGCCAATCGCTGCGCATGTCGTGTCCTTCTAACGCCAGTATTTTAGGATTATTTATATTGGCCCACTCCTTTACCCAAATCAAGCCGCATGCGTCATGGTATGTTTGTAATTCAGGGAGTCCTAATCCGTAGGGCGGAATATAAATGTTTTAAATAAATTAATAAATTAATAAATTTGCCAATTATCAATCGGTCTGGTTGCCATCATCTTGGTTTTTCGTTTTTTAATGTTTAACTGCAACCCAGCTTTTGCACTTTCTTCTTTCACCTTAGTTAGAAGGCACCTCAGTTCTTTCTCGCTTTCAGCCATCTGTGTGTATAGTATGTTTATTTCCTCAGGTAGTGAAAGGAATAAAAAAAAACAAAAAAAGAAAGAGCTTGTTCCTCGGAAGCACAGAAAGCCTTCTTTTAAAAGGATATACGAGATCGATAATGAAATCTAAACTAAATTGTTCTGCTCAATTAAATCTTGGAATGTAGCCGTGCCGTGAGATAACTCTTATTTACTTTTCCAGAAAAGTCACTTTTGTGTTACTCCACCTTCTATTTATTTATTTACTGTATTTGTATACCGCCCCTCTCAGCCTTCCGGTGATTCGAGGCAGTTTACAAGGCAAAATTCAATGTCACCAAAAACACAATTACAATATAAAAACTTTAACATCAATAAAATCATAACAGCTGTAATAAAACATAATTCAATAAATATTAATTAAATCTCTCACTAACCCTAACCCCAAACCCTGCCCCCCGTACCTTTTATATTAAACATAATAAAATTATTAAAAAAATAAAAACTATGTCCAATCCCATCTTGTAGTTGATTCCATTCTTATGTCCGTTACTCAGTATTCGCAAATGCCTGCTTGAATAGCCATGTCTTGAGTTTTTTTTAAAAATGCTAAAAGTAGGGCTGGGCGGTTTCATTTCGTAATTTCGTAATTCGTTAAAAATTCGTTATTTTTTTTGTTACGAAGCGATAACGAACCATTCAGGAGCATCTAAAAAACGAAACGAATTTTTCAATTCGTTTCGTAATTGCTTCGTATTTGTTTCGTATTCGTTTCGAAATCGTTTCGAAATCGTTTCGTTATTATTTCCGCATGTCTGGGGCAAGTTTTATAGCTGTTTGTTTAATCAGTGAAAAAAAATTATAAATATCACACCAACAGTCAACAACAGAGGGAGAGGGAAGCTTCAGAAGTTCCCCCTGTCCCATTTGGAGGTTTTTTAGCGTATTGCGCGGTCGCGTCCGCCATTAACGAATCGATTCGTAATTGTTGTATTCGTTTTGTAATTTTACGAAATTTCGTAAATATCGAACTTTTTTAAAGAAAAATTTCAGAATTCTTTTAAATATCGAAACGCAAAAAAACCCAAAAAACGAATCGAGTTTAGAAACAAATTTTTCCGTGGTTGCCCAGCCCTAGCTAAAAGTGAAGAAACTGATCTAATCTCCATAGGAAGTGTGTTCCATAGCTAAGGGGCCACCACTGAGAAGGCCCTGTCTCTCATCCCCACCAGCCGTGTCTGTGATGATGGCGACACCGAGAGCAGGGCCTCTCCAGATGATCTTAAAGTCCTCGAAGGTTCATAAGGGGAGATGCGTTCAGACAGGTAAGTTGGGCCAGAACTGTTTAGGGCTTTATAGGCCAAAGCCAGCACTTTGAATTGTGCCTGGTAGCAGACTGGCAGCCAGTGGAGCTGGCGCAACAAAGGAGTTGTATGCTCCCTGAGTGCCGCTCCTGTTAGCAACCTGGCTGCCGTCCGTGGGACTTTGATGCTTCTGGACAGTCTTCAAAGGCAACCCCATGTAGAGAGCATTGCAGTAGTCTATATGGGATGTAACAAGCGCATGGACTACCGTGGCCAAGTCAGACTTCCCAAGGTACGGGTGCAGCTGGTGCACAAGCTTTAATTGTGCAAATGCTCTCCTAGTCACCGCTGAGATCTGAGGTTCCAGGCTCAGCGATGTGTCCAGGATCACACCCAAGCTGTGAACCTGCGTCTTCAGGGGGAGTGCCACCCCATCCAACACAGGTTGTAACCCTATGCCCTGTTTGGCCTTAAGACAAACCAGGAGAACCTCTGTCTTGTCTGGATTCAATTTCAATTTGTTAGCCCTCATCCAGATCGTCAGAGCGGCCAAGCATCGTTCAGGACCTGAACAAGTTATACAAGTTTGTTTTCAAAAGCAGAACTGTATCTTGTACGCACAACAAAATAAACTGGAATCTAAATGTTGGGAATTCCCTTGGAAGAGATTAATGATAGGACACAAGCGTTTCACTGTGAAAGATGAGTTTATAAACTCGAGGACTCCGATAACATTTATAACAAATCTGTCCCAGATAAAATGCAAACCAATTATACAAATCGACCCAAAGAGTCCCATTGTGTTTTTAATTTTGTTTCTTTAGTTTACTATTTGGTACTTTTAATCAATGCAATTTTGTTTAAAATTTCCAAGCCATTGTTTTGATTGCTCTTGCCCTTTCTAATATTCTTCATGGTTTTATTATTGTAAATTGAATTTTTAATTAAAATACTGTACATACATACTCTTTAAAATTCTCTCATTAACCATTAAGGCTATAAAATGGCAAAATGCTTACTACTTTATTTGCAGCAAAAGATACTTTAACTGTACATATTAAATTATAAATATTTTACATGCTTATCTACCCAATATGCCCCTCATGGCTGGTTAGGTCTTGCCTCGAAACACGAGAGTCTTTAGTTCAAACAACTGTTTTCCTTTTCAGACCTGAATACATCCACTTTCATGAAATTTCAAAAGGCAAACAGAAAGATTATCAAGACTGGATTCCTTGTTTGCTCCAAGATTTGGGAGAATAAAAGTTAAATCAGCAGGTCTCTAATAATGAGAGATGCCTGGTCGGTAAGACAGAAGACTTGTATTATGTGTCTGGGTTCCGACAAGATCATTATGTTAGCTTTTGTATTGGATCACACGTCGGACACTTTTCAAGTGTCTAGGACTATATGATGTATCGGCAAATAATGTGTGCAGATCTGAGCAGGGCGGCCTTTTGCAGCTGACAGGTGGTAATTTTGTCAATGCCAATTGCTTTTAAGTGCAGGCCAAGGTCTTTAGGCACTGAACTCAGTGTGCCAATCACCACTGGGACCACCTTGACTTGCTTGTGCTAGAGTCTTTGCAGTTCAATCTTTAAATCCTTGTATCGTGTAAGCTTTTCCAGTTGCTAGAGAGATATTGACACGCTGGAATGTGTCCAGAGGAGGGCAACTAAAATGATCAAGGGTCTGGAGAGCAAGCCCTATGAGGAGCGGCTTAAGGAGCTGGGCATGTTTAGCCTGAAGAAGAGAAGGCTGAGAGATATGATAGCCATGTATAAATATGTGAGAGGAAGCCACAGGGAGGAGGGAGCAAGCTTGTTTTCTGCTTCCTTGGAGACTAGGACGCGGAACAATGGCTTCAAACTACAAGAGCGGAGATTTCATCTGAACACGAGGAAGAACTTCCTGACTGTGAGAGCCGTTCAGCAGTGGAACTCTCTGCCCCGGAGTGTGGTGGAGGCTCCTTCTTTGGAAGCTTTTAAACAGAGGCTGGATGGCCATCTGTCAGGGGTGATTTGAATGCAATATTCCTGCTTCTTGGCAGGGGGTTGGACTGGATGGCCCATGAGGTCTCTTCCAACTCTTTGATTCTATGATTCTATGTTTCTCGCCAATTCTGCTGTCGCCTGGGATTGCAACATGGACGATCCATACATTTTTTTCCCCATGATAGGAGTATAGCAGCAGTAGCAGAAGTTATTACCATTTATAACACAACAAGAGGAGTCCACAGCAGACACTCTGCTGGCTGTTGTATTGGATCGCACGTCGAACGCTTCCCAAGTGTCTAGGACTGTGTGATGTATTGGCGAATAATGTGTGCAGATCCCGGAAAGGTGGCCCAGTTGTTTCGCTTCAATCCTGCTGTCACCCAGGATTGCAACATCGACACACCATACTTTGTTTTTTAACACGATCGTGAGATCAGGAGTATTGTACTCCAAATCTCTGTCAGTCTGAATTCAGAAGTTACAGAGTAGCTTGATGTGTTCATTCTCTGTAACTTTTTCCGGCTTGTGATCCCACCAGTTCTTTGTTGCAGGCAGATGGTATTTGTGTCACAAGTTGTTGTTGTTGTTGTTATTATTATTATTATTATTTGAAACACAACAAGATGAGTCCACAGCAGACAATCTCTGCTGGCTGTTGTATTGGATCACACGTCAGACACTTCCCAAGTGTCTAGGACTGTGTGATGTATTGGCGAATAATGCATGCAGATCCCAGTAAGGTGGCCTTTTGCAGCTGGCAGATGGTAATTTTGTCAGCACCGATTGTGTTTAAGTGCAGGCCAAGGTCTTTAGGCACTGCACCCAGTGTGCCGATCACCACTGGGACCACCTTGACTGGCTTGTGCCAGAGTCTTTGCAGTTCGATCTTTAAATCCTCATATCGTGTCAGCTTTTTCCAGTTGTTTCTCTTCAATCCTGCTGTCACCTGAGATTGCAACATTGACAATCCATACTTTGTTTTTTAACACCATCGTGAGGTTAGGAGTATTGTGCTCCAGAACTCTGTCTGTCTGAATTTGGAAGTTGTTGTTGTTGTTATTATTATTATTATTATTATTATTATTATTATTATTATTATTAATATTTTCTTGGTTTGCAGAGGTTGAGTATTCTTTATCTGGAATTCCAAAAACTGAATGTGTCCACGTGGATGACTGAGATAGTGATGCTTTGGCTTTCTGTTGGTTCACTGTACACCAACTTTGTTTCATGCACAGAATTATCAAATTTAAAAGTACTTTCAAGCAACGTGCATAAACTGTATATGAATCATAAAATCATAGAATCAAAGAGTTGGAAGAGACCTCATGGGCCATCCAGTCCAATTCCCTGCCAAGAAGCAGGAATATTGTATTCAAATCACCCCTGACAGATGGCCATCCAGCCTCTGTTTAAAAGCTTCCAAAGAAGGAGCCTCCACCACACTCCGGGGCAGAGAGTTCCACTGCTGAACGGCTCTCACAGTCAGGAAGTTCTTCCTTTTGTTCAGATGGAATCTCCTCTCTTGTAGTTTGAAGCCATTGTTCCGCGTCCTAATCTCCAAGGAAGCAGAAAACAAGCTTGCTCCCTCCTCCCTGTGGCTTCCTCTCACATATTTATACATGGCTATCATATCTCCTCTCAGCCTTCTCTTCTTCAGGCTAAACATGCCCAGCTCCTTAAGCCGCTCCTCATAGGGCTTGTTCTCCAGACCCTTGGTCATTTTAGTCGCAATTAATTTCATGTTTAAACATAAGTCCATCTCCAACATACTTCATTATATATATGCAACTGTTCTAAACTCTGAAAAAATCCAAAATAAAGAACAGTTTTGACCACAAGGTAAAGATTTCCCCTTGACATTACATCAAGTCATGTCCAACTCTGGGAGGTGGTGCTCATCTCCATTTCTAAGGTGAAGAGTCGGCGTTGTCCATAGGCACCTCCAAGGTCATATGGCCAGCATGACTGCATGGAACGCCGTTACCTTCCTGCTAAAGTGATACCCATTGAACAACTCACATTTGCATGTTTTCGAACGGCCAGGTTGGTAGAAGCTGGGGCTAACAGCAGGAGCTCACCCCGCTTGCTGGATTCAAACCGCCAACCTTTTGGTCAGCAAGTTCAGCACCTTTAATCCGCTGTGCCACTGGGGGCTCCATGGATAAGGGATACTCAACCTATATTGTAACTAATTTTAATGGTTTTAAGTTTACAATGTATTCAACAGTTTTTCTCAATCACTTTTATATTTTACAGTATCCTGATTGTCAAAGAAATATCAAAGTATCTCTTACATCAATGCATCAATAGGAGCATAGTGTCTAGATCTAGGGAAGTAATGCTACCCCTCTATTCTGCTTTGGTTAGACCACACCTGGAATATTGTGTCCAATTCTGGGCAACACAATTCAAGAGAGATATTGACAAGCTGGAATGTGTCCAGAGGAGGGCGACTAAAATGATCAAGGGTCTGGAGAACAAGCCCTACGAGGAGCGGCTTAAGGAGCTGGGCATGTTTAGCCTGAAGAAGAGAAGGCTGAGAGGAGATATGATAGCCATGTATAAATATGTGAGAGGAAGCCACAGGGAGGAGGGAGCAAGCTTGTGTTCTGCTTCCTTGGAGACTAGGACACGAAACAATGGCTTCAAACTACAAGAGAGGAGATTCCATCTGAACATGAGGAAGAACTTCCTGACTGTGAGAGCCGTTCAGCAGTGGAACTCTCTGCCCCGGAGTGTGGTGGAGGCTCCTTCTTTGGAAGCTTTTAAACAGAGGCTGGATGGCCATCTGTCAGGGGTGATTTGAATGCAATATTCCTGCTTCTTGGCAGAAGGGGTTTGACTGGATGGTCCAACTCTTTGATTCTATGATTCTACAGTTAAGAAGGAAGAAGGAAGCAAAAGATTAAGAAAGGAAAGGAAAAGAAGGAAAGAGAAATGTAGTAGTTCACTCTGTCCTGTGTCCAAAGAAGCAGGTTTATGTCAAAAAAAAGCAAAAGTGAAAATAAAAACCAGCTAGCCTTAAAGGTACTATCATTTTCTTTTCTTTTTGTGAAAACTAATTATCATTATAACAAAATAATTACATCAACATTAGAGGGCATCTTCTGCTTGAATACTTACAAATTCTTAGCTCTGAATGCTTCAGCAAAGTCCCGTATGCTTGAAAGAGATGCAAGGTCTAAGGTCATTGCTTCCACTTTGGCTTTGTGCTAAAAGAGAGAAAAGGGAATAGTGTTAAACCAAAGGAAGAGAGTTAGTTCACACACTTATGATGCACCAAAGAGCAAGACTACATGTTTAATTTCCCTTGTTTACCATATGACAAAATGCAATGCTAAATCTATAAATTCTACATCCATAGCACTACTAAACATATAGAGAGTGTTCTCAGCAGCTTTTTGATACTAAAGAGAGTTGATCAGGAGTAACTTTGCCTCGGATAATTTAATATATTGGGTTGATTGAGTCCCCTTGAGTCCCAATGAGGAGAAGCAAATAAATATGTATTGTCAAAGGCTTTCATGGCCAGAATCACTGGGTTGTTGTAGGTTTTTCGAGCTATACGGCCATGTTCTAGAGCAGTGGTTCTCAACATTCCTAATGCGGTGACCCCTTAATACAGTTCCTCATGTTGTGGTGACCCCCAGCCTTTAAATTATTTTCGTTGCTACTTCATAATTGTAATTTTGCTACTGTTATGAATCGTTATGTAAATATCTGATATGCAGGATGTATTCTCATTCACTGGACCAAATTTGGCACAAATACCCAATATGCCCAAATTTGAATACTGGTGGGGTTGGGATGGGAGGATTGGTTGGAGGATGGGGTTTGGTGGGCGTTGACCTTGAGTTTGGGAGTTGTAGTTCAGCTACATCCAGAGAGCACTGTGGGCTTCAAACAATGATGGGTATGTATCAAACTTGGCACAATTACTCAATATACCCAAATATGTACACTGGTGAATTTTGGGGGAAATAGACCTTGACATTTGGGAGTTGTGGTTTCTGGGATTTATAGTTCACCTATATTCAAAGAGCATTCTGAACTACACCAACAATGGACTTGAACCAAACTTGGCACACAGGACTCCCATGACCAACAGAAAATCCTGGAAGGGTTTGGTGGGCATTGAGCTTGGGTTTTAGAGTTGTAGTTCATCTACATCCAGAGAGCACTGTGGACTCAAACAATGATGGATCTGGATCAAACTTGGCACGAATATTCAATATGCCCAAATGTGAACACTGGTGAAGTTCGGGGGAAATAGACCTTGACATTTGGGAGTTGTAGTTGCTGGGATTTATAGTTCACCTACTACCAAAGAGCATTCTGAACTCCACCAACAACAGAATTAGGCCAAACTTCCCACACAGAACTCCCATGACTAACAGAAAATACTGTCTGTGATGATCTTTGGCGACCCCTCTGACACCCCCTCGCGACCCCTTCAGGGGTCCCGACCCCCAGGTTGAGAACCACTGTTCTAGAGGCATTCTCTCCTGACATTTCGCCTGCATCTATATGGCAAGCATCCTCAGAGGTAGTGAGGTTTGTTGGAAACTAGTAAAATTGAGTTTATATATCTGCGGAATGTCCAAGGTGGGAAAAAGAACTCTTGTCTGCTGGAGCTAGGTGTGAATGTTTCAGTCAGCCACCTTGATTAGCATTTTAGGCTTGACAGTTTTTAGGTTTTAGTACCTGGGGGGATCCTTTGTTGAGGGGTGATTAGCTTCCCTGATTATTTCTTGTCTGGAGTTCCCACAATGCTTGTCATAAATGCAGGCAAAACGTCAGGAGAGAATGCCTCAAGAACATGGCCATATAGCTCGAAAAAACCTAGAACAGCATCTAGAACAGGGGTCCTCAAACTTTTTAAAAAGAGGGCCAGGTTGCAGTCCCTCAAACTGTTGGAGGGCCAGATTATAATTTGAAAAAAAAATGAATGAATTCCTATGCACACTGCACATATCTTATTTGTAGTGCAAAAACACTTAAAAACAATACAATAATTAAAATGAAGAACAATTTTAACAAATATAAACTTATTAGTATTTCAATGGGAAGTGTGGGCCTACTTTCGGCTGATGAGATAGGATTATTGTTGTTGTGTGCTTTCAAGTCGTTTCAGACTTAGGTTGACTCTGAGCGAGGGCCAGGTAAATAACCTTGGAGAGCCGTATCCGGCCCGCGGGCCATATTTTGAGAACGCCTGCTCTAGAACATGGCCATATACCCCGAAAAAACCTACAACAACCCAGCAAATAAATAAATAGGTTGCAATTCACAACTAGTGTGTTAATCTACAACATTAAAGTTTGGCAACTCTGTGGTAGTTGACTAAGACATTTATTAGTCCAAATAACAACAGAATAAATTGAACTTAAGATGCTTTAGCAGAATAATTTGGTTTTTAGCAAACGTGTATTCTACAAAGCAACAGAAACAATTAAACAGGAATTTAAGAAGATAACACTGAAATAATAATAATATTATGCAGAAGATAATGCAAGTCAACAAAATCTTTTTTTTTTGTATTCATCAGAAATGAGAGTAGCACAGTTTAAATCAAATTTTAATGCTGATTTTAAATTGGGGTCCCGACCCAAATGGGGTCCCCTTGTCACAATGTTGGGGTGTGAAAAATTTGGCAACAGTAAACGTTTTGCCGGAGCCCCCGGTGGCGCAGTGGGTTAAAGCACTGAGCTGCTGAGCTTGTTGATCGAAAGGTCGCAGGTTCGATTCCGGGGAGCGGCGTGAGCTTCCGCTGTCAGCCCTAGCTTCTGCCAACCTAGCAGTTCGAAAACATGCAAATGTGAGTAGATCAATAGGTACCGCTCTGGCGGGGAGGTAACGGCGCTCCATGCAGTCATGCCGGCCACATGACCTTGGAGGTGTCTATGGACAACGCTGGCTCTTCGGCTTAGAAATTGAGATGAGCACCACACCCCAGAGGCAGACATGACTGGACTTAGTGTCAGGGGACTACCTTTACCTTTACCTTAAACGTTTTGCCACCTAGTGGGTCTTTAAGACATTCACACAAATTAATAGAGTTTACAGTAAACTCTGCAGAAAATTCTTCAGCAGTACTTCATAGAAAGGAACATAAGTCTGTTTAGCAAGCCTTGCAAATGCTCATTTGTTACCAGTAAATATTTGATTTGTATATGTGCTGGTACGGCTGTACCAGGAGCTCAAATTTTATTTTCTTTCTGTTATCTGCTTGCAGTCATAGGGCAGGCCACCTGTCCATCATAATTAAGCTTTGGTTCCGCCCCTTGTTCAGGGCTCTGGGAGGGAAAGGAGCCATTTTTGGTCAGTCTCACATAAGGAAGCTAAACTATAGGATGTAGACCAGCTCATCCCATAGAAAAGCTTCTTTTCTCAAGAACATCCGGGGAGACAGAAACGGAAATTCCAGGGAAATTGTCACAAGGCTCTGGCTGAGAGCTCACAGCCTTTCATCCTCACAGCAATCAGAGGGAAAACAGCCCTGAAGTTTTCAAAGAATTCTCTGAGGGAGGACAGCATTACAGATCCACAACTCCAGCTGAAATATCTACAAGCCTCGGCTGGTAGGTCTACTCGATACCCAGACGCATTTGGAATCGGTAGTAGGACCCACACCGATGAGGCATAGATAGTAAACAGCCTGGGAGAGGTTAAATAGGGTTTTTTCTTACAGAGAAAGTACAGTTAATTAAAGTCAGGTAGCAGTCTATTGAGGACTAGACTAAGAAAGCCTTGAAGTGTTGCTTGAACCATTGAAGATTTGTTGTTTGTTCCATAATAAAGACTTTGTTGTATCATTAAAAACTCTAAAGACCATTACTTCAGAAAAATCCCTGAGAACCTCTCTTTGAGGCACCCCGACTTCCCGCTGGGCTTAAAGTATACGTCCTATAGAAAAGACAGCTGTTACAGGCCCAGTGTGCGACAGAACAGTATACCTATATATATCTATATACCGGGGGTCATATCTCGGCCCTAAAGAGGTAGCAAGTGGGAACATTTAAGAAGCTCTGCTCTATAATGGGCAAAATTTTACACAAGGAGGGTTATCATCACCGGTCAAAAACTGAATGCGGATCAACAACAACATTACGAAAAATAGTGACCACCAATTTGTTCTACCTGTAAACTCTCAACTGTAGCAAAGGTTATCCCCTCTCTCCCTCTTTCAAAGCTATAATGCTCCGTTCACATTTCCAAAGGGAAAATAAAAAGAGTGTGCTACAAACACAAGGACAGTGAGGGGTCAAAAAACATCAAGTAGTTCAACAGACTAAACCACAAGCTGTTAGTTACTATGCTCTTGGGAACAGTGATTCAAGTCCACACACTATTACTCAGGTAATGCTTTCAGTCTTGCTATCAGGTTGCAGGTTTCTGCTATTTGCTCCAAGAATGAGGAGGAAGCATTTGCAATATTGCATTGGGGGGGGGGGGGGGAGGAATGTGATTCCTGTACTCTTCTTTCACAAGGAGAAATCCTTCCAAAAGAATAAGTAAACTGTATGTGTGAGTAAAATCAAAATATGAAAAAAATGATAAATGAACAATTATGATATATAGATGACAGATCCAAGCTATGGATATGGGTTTCTAGTCCGCCACGTGAGCCAGTGAACTGCAACCACCCTTCTCATAATAGTACATCCTCCTGTGCCAAGGTAATCAATGTCCCTTTACTTTCAACAGTTGAAACTAATTTGTCCTTTTGCAGTTTTCTGATCTTGTCTGATCAAAGGTTATTGGGAACACTAAGACTAGGTAGAAGCACTTTTTGAGTAGCTCAAGAAGAAGTCTTTATAAGGTCATAACTGCAAAAAATATATTTTAAAGTAGTATTTCTTTAAACGCCTGGCTCGAGAGCAGTACATGTGAAGAAGATCTTGGAGTCCTTGTGGACAACAAGTTAAACATGAGCCAACAATGTGATGTGGCGGCAAAAAAAGCCAATGGGATTTTGGCCTGCATCAATAGGAGCATAGTGTCTAGATCTAGGGAAGTAATGCTACCCCTCTATTCTGCTTTGGTTAGACCACACATGGAATATTGTGGTGTGAAAGTAGTTTAACTCATGTGATGAGCTTAGTGCCTCTTCATGCTTTAGAAGAGGCTAAAGTGTCCTATTTTTTGTTGTTTATTCGTTCAGTCGCTTCCGACTCTTTGTGACTTCATGGACCAGCCCACACCAGAGCTCTCTGTTGGCTGTCACCACCCCC